TAAAAACTGATATATAGAAAAGCACCCACAAAATATAGCATGACAAACTGTTAATGAACACAATAAAACCAGTATGTTTAAAGTATGTTTATGTTTAAAGTGAAAATATTTTTTAAAAAATCGTGATCTGTGAGACAAAAAAACTGAAAAAAGAAATTCTTTTACCCTACTCCAACACGTAAAGGAAACAAGTTAATGAAATATTTTAATCTATCTTATATTAAATTTAAATTCATCTGCAGGTTTAAAATTTCATCTAATGATTTAGTATTTGAAATTTATGACCATGTAAAATTTGAAAACTCGTTTTAGGGATAGTTGAAACCTTTAATAAATTTTGAACATTGAAAGATTTTTTTTAGATAAAATTTAAATCATGAATAAAATTAAAATCATTAATTTTAATTAGTATAAGATAGTAAATTAAAACACTTTATTAACTCATTATCCTCACATTTGGATTGGGTGGATAACTTCTGGGATTCTCTCAAAAAGCTATCCAAGGTCCAAAAAACATGATTTCGCTAAACATCATTTAACTCAAGCATGAACATACTTATATTCAGAGTTTTTACAGTGTCTGAAAGTATGTACCAAAATATAAAAAAATCCTGCATCCACCCTCAATAAAATAATAGTTCATACAGTGTTTAACAATTTTTACGACAATCGGGACATAACTAATTCTTTTTTGGTTTATAAGTGGAAAAGTTTAATTTTGCAACTTTTTCCTGCACAAGGAAACAACTCACCATTTTCATTACCTTTACAATAACAAATCAAAGTATCTTTTGTAAAATATTTACCTACTAGTTCTGGTAAGATAGAGCTATTGAATACTTGCTGACACTTTGTTACACAAGCTGTTCACAAGGAATTGTCTGGATAAATTCTTTCTAGGTGATAGTTTTTAGAAGTTTTTACAAAAAAATCACAAAACTTTTTTTACCTGTATGTAATTGAGTTTGAATTTGAAAGTAATATGGATGTGTTCGTTTAAGCTTTATTTCAGTGTTCATTATTTGTATACAAATTGTCTTATCTGCACCAATAGCTTCAAGTATAAAGTTATTTTTATAGTTAAAAGGATTTTTAATTTTCACACATCCTTCTCACATCTTCTTCACGCAGCATTCACAAGATATTAAACCATCTGGAGAAGAGCCAATGAAAGGATATTCTGTGGATATAAAAAAACCACATTTTATTACTTTGAAATTAACATGATGCTGTTTTACAATATCAAAATATTTTGCTAAAGCAAGCTTTTCGTTGTCTGTTCCCCATTTAGTTTGATATGTATTAACTTTGTAACTTTCAGGGTAACAAATTCTTTTAACTAATGATTGGGCAGGCATAGAGTCAAGTGTGTGAAATACACTGTACATATTTGATGCAGTGATTCTTCCTGCTCGAAAATGAAACCATTTTTTGGAAAAAACTTGCTCTTTTGTAGCTTTCTCAACATTACACTGCTCAACCTCTGATACAGTCAAATTTAAACTTTTACATTGTTTACACAAATCTATGTAACTAAGAGATAAAGTTGAGGAATCATACAATTCCCACAACATTTTCGGAAGCTGCAATTTCAATAATGAGGGTTAGTATTCTGCACTGTAAGGAGATATAACAGATAAAATTGCTGGCTTAGACTTGCAGAGGCTCAGGTCGTTGAAAAAAATATCCAGTTCATTTGGGAGGTGTACAAATATTATAATTTAACTTATTAAATGACAATGCATCACTTTTTTTATCAGATTCTTTTAGTATTGCCTCATCATATTTTCGTTTTAAAGTACTTGGGGAGGTAAAATCTATATCAATGCATTCTGAACATGGATATCTTTAGATGAAGATGGAAGCATCCAGTATGCTTTTTCTTCTGTAAATGTCTTAGAATCGCGCAGCAGCAATATAAAATAAAATTGCTTCAATATGAGAACATGCTTCTCCAAGACCAGCCATGCAGTTACAATGAGCATACAATATTTAACCACACTTTTCAGAAATGATTCATGTACAAGTTGCTGTTTCATTATGTTTTTGTGAATGATAAACCTTTAAGAGAAAATAAAATCATATAATATTGTTCATTAAAAATGTAACAATAACATTTTAAAAAACAAAATTCAGATGTTAAAATATATTACCCTTCCCATAACCAAACATTTTTCATTAAATAACTTTAAACCAATTTCCTTGACCCAGCCAGAACGAAAAAAATTATAAGACTCCAAACTTTTATTACTTTTAAGTTCTTCAGCGCTGAAGATTGTTCAGCGCTGAATGTTTGTTTTATCTCCTATATCTGCTGCACCAGATAAAACAAACATTAAATAGTTTACAATAACAGGATAACTTATTTTTGGATAAAAATAAGTTATCTTGTCAGATTTCTCTAAGCTATATGGATCTAAATCATTTATTTGAGAAATTTTATGAAGATTTTAACGGAAAAGACAAGTAAAATATTTGCTTTTGCTCAAAGACATAGTTAGTTGCGCTTGTTTGTTTGTTTGTGAACCAACATGACAGCCGTATTGAGTTTCGCATAATTATCATAAGTTAATGATGTAACCCGGAACAGTGGATTAGGGACTTTCACTGCATGCCGGTTTTAATGTATGACTTTTTCATAAGGGATAAATGAACGAAATGGCGGCTTTGTTTAATTAATTATAAAAGGCTTTTCTTTGTTTTAGATTTTGTAAATGACTTTAGTAGTCAAAATTTGGGTGTTTTTTGTTGAAATAACTATTATTACAAAGATATTAACAAAATAAAGTGGTTTTATACTTCATATTTATGTTACAATAACGTTGGTACAAAAAAAAGGAGATGCCCTTACAAAAAAACCCAGCGAACTTCCAGTGAAAAAATGTTCCAAAACCCAGCGAACTTCCAGTGATCTTTTCCAGCGAACTTCCAGTGATCTCTAAAGTTCACTGGAAATTTCCAGCGAACTTGTTCCAAAACCCAGCGAACTTCCAGCGAACTTTTCCAGCGAACTTCCAGTGATCTTTAAAGATCACTGGAAGTTCGCTGGAAATTTCCAGCGAACTTGTTCCAAAACCCAGCGAACTTCCAGTGAACTTTTCTAGCGAATTTTCATGTTTATGTATAAAAATAGATTCGCTGGAAGTTTTTTTAAAAAGGATTTTTTTATTTTTGCTATAAAAGTTTCAAAAGTTTATAAACATTTTAAAATTTTTTAACCAATAAACGCGAAATAAGACAAGTTAAGCGCGATAAAAAAGTAATATATTTATTTTAAAATATCGAGTTTTATAAATTAAAATACAATGTAGGATTAGATTATCTTAGGTATAATTACAAATTCTCAGAAATAAACTTTAATACAGAATACAATTTTTAACAAGAAACTAAAAAAGTTAATTTATTAATTAATGTAAAACATATACTTTTTTATAGGCATAAGTAAACGTATTGTTGATCTTTACTTTATATTACGCATGTTTCTATATTTAAAAAGTTTTTCCTCGTTAGCGTTCTCATATGACAAATTATCACAACGAAACAAAAAGAATTAAGAAATTCATCAAATCATCTTTTGAAAACCACTTTAGGCATTCTTTTCGGTTTGGGTCTTTAGAGCTAAAAAAAAAGAAAAAAAAAAAAAGAATGCATACAATAAATAAAGAACATATATATATATATATATATATATATATATATATATATATATATATATATATATATATATATATATATATATATATATATATATATATATATATATATATATATATATATATATATATATATATGTATATATATATATATATATATATATATATATATATATACATATATATATATATATATATATATATATATATATATATATATATATATATATATATATATATATATATATATATATATATATATTTAAACAATTTTAAAAATGTATTCTACAAAATAGAGTGCTCAATGTTCTTGAAAGAACAGAGCAATTATAAATAAGTACAAAATTACTTTACAAAAATTTTTTTTCATTTTACACTGTTACATCGAAAACTTTAAAAAAAAAATTTTATTAAGTGACTTTCTACTAATATATATATACATATATATACTATATATATATATATATATATATATATATATATATATATATATATATATATATATATATATATATATATATATATATATATATATATATATATATATATTCTGGTAAATAAATTTAAAAACTGAAGACAATACAGAGAAAAAATTAATAAACAAATAAACTAGCTACAAATCAATTAAAAATTTTATTACAAATTATGACAAAATAAACCTCCTAATATTAAAGTAACAATAATAATGTAGTAAGTTATGTAGATTAATTTATATTTAGGATTTTCCCATTTAATATGAAGTGCTTTTTTTATTTTTAATTTGTTAATGATAGAGACAGTATCTAAAATCTAAAAGCAATCAAAATTAGTTAGTGTTTTACAAACACTAACTAATAATTATATAAAACATAATATTCAAAATAAGACAAAATGTGAAATGATAAGCAAAAATAAAACAGTATAAGATAGATAAAAACATACCAACATATTTTCGCGCAATTAGAATCAATCATTTTTTATTAATTTATCAATTTCCAACCAATAGCATTTTATCACTTTTATACTGCATAAAAATAATAATTATAGATAAAATAATAAAAACTTAATAGTATATATATATATATATATATATATATATATATATATATATATATATATATATATATATATATATATATATATATATATATATATATATATATATATATATATATATATATATATATATGTATATATAATCAATTATTATAATAACTAAATAATTTTAATTTAAAAACCCAGCAAACTTTCACTGGAAGTTTTCTGTTTTTTTTTTTGTAAGGAACTTTACAATTTTTTAACTAATTTTTTTTTAAATTTTCAACTATTTAAATCAACAAAACAAAAATTCATACAGCTCTACTTTTCTGTACTGATATAGATATTTAAATCTGTAAAAAACATAATAGTCATTATAAAGCAAACCTTAAACCTGTATAATAGAGAAGAAGAAAAATATTGCAGTAAGTATATCTTAGAGGCTTAAGCATCATAAGCATGTTTTTTAGCCCATTTCAAAAAGTCGAGAACCAAATGGCAGTAGTTACATTTTTTATTCCGAATAAGTGTATATATATATATATATATATAGAGAGAGAGAGAGAAAGATTTACAATTTTAGTTAAACATAAATAAAAACTGCATTAAGATATAATACCTGCTTTTTAAAAAAGCTCTGTATATATATAATAACTGCTTTAAAATAACTTAATATAAAACATATTTTCTTTACCACACAAATCATAAAAAAAAAATTTTAATAGATTTTTTTATGAGAAAACTCATAAAAAAAATCTATTAACTAATAATGTGGCTTTATTAATTACACTTTCAGATAATACCTTATTGTTCAACGTAAAAACAATATTAGATAAAAGAATAAAATGGTCAAAAAACTGAGGAGGCAAAACATCACATAAAATAACAGGACCATAAAAAACTAAAAAATTAAAAAACTCAATACCTTTCCAATACTTTATACAACTTAATGATCATCGAGTCTGTCTTATATTGCTTGGCACACTGATTGCAGAGAAAAGATTATTTACAAGAGTACAGTGTCTTCTAATAGAAAAAATATGACCAGAATAATAACTATCAAATTAGAAAGAAGACATAGCTTTCATAACACCAAGCTCAATACAGTGCAGATTATTATTAACTGTTCCATTTTCACATTTAAAATTAGGTACTCTTACAAATGTAGAAAAATCTAAAAACCCTTTAATCACATTAATCCAAAAAAAATCTGTATGGTTTCTACAACTCCCATTAACTTCAGAAAATGGATAAGTCATACAAGACCTCCTACCTTTTTTAACTCTTACCCCTTGAGAAGAACACCAATGGCAACCATTATAATCATTAAACTACCTACAACAGAAAACCATAGCTCCTGCAATTGTATCACACAAAAAAATAGATACATGAAAAAAAAACACGAAGATTATTAGATAAGAGTATACCAGTAGTGGATAGGTTAGTAAAAAAATCAACAAAACAAGATAAAAATAATTGCACGTTTGGTTTTTTAAAACTGGACCAGAAACCAAAAAACAAAATATTAGTAATTTGCAATGAATATGGAAAATTATGAATGGATGCTAGCAAAGGCCACAAGGTCCACTTTGATAATTTAAAAACAGGAATTCTATCAGTATTAACAACAAGTCTAATTGTTGCTTGCGCATTTTCTTCAAGACTTGCTAAATGTATCCAATTGTTATCACACATGTTTTTATGCTGTTTATTTATGTTTAAAATATGAAAATAACTGCATTTCTTATAAAGATAGGATAATGTAAAATATTTCAAACATTTTGTACATTGCTTATTAGTACTTAAAGCAACTTCACAAAAATATATATATATATATATATATATATATAAATTAGTAAAAACACTTATCTAATTTTTATTTTCTTCTACAGCTTGTTTCTCCATCAGTTGGATCATCAGAAAGATTCCTTCCTGATGATCCTACTGATGGAGAAACAAGCTGTAGAAGAAATTAAAATTAGATAAGTATTTTTACTAATTTATTATTGCTCTGTTCTTTAAGAACGTTGAGCACTCTATTTGTAGAATACACTAAAATACTTTATATATATACATACACTGAGAGAGAGAGGGATATATATTATATATCCCTCTCTTTCAGTGAGAGAGAGAAACAGCTTGTTATTTATTATTTTTAATATAAAATACTTAATCATAAATACATTTATAAAAATTATTTTTATAAAATAATAAAGTTGAATTTGATAAATAAAATGCATTCGCATAAAGCGAATGCATAATAAGCAATACTTAAAGAGAAATAAACATTTTAAGCAACATACCAGATGATTTTGTTTTGTAACTTGAGTAGAACTAATAATAATTGAAACTCGCACTATAGATCATCTATTAGATGCAAAAAATAAAATAAAAAGGATTACTTTTATACAAAAATTTGAAATATTATTTTAAGAAGATATATTATCAATTTTCCAAGTTTTATCTGCTTGCAGAAGTTGTAACAGCAACGCTTTTTAAATCACCGCGAAATATTTCGCAAGAAACCCAGTAAACTTCCAGCGAACTTTTAGATCACTGGAAGTTTTTCGTTGGATTTCCAGCGAACTTCCAGCGAAGTCTTTTGTTTCCATGGAAATCCAGCGAAAACCCAGTGATCTTAGTAAATTTCCAGTGATCTTTTAATTTCCAGCGAACTTTCGCTGGAAGTTCGCTGGGTTTTTTTGTAAGGGTGGGACTTAATAAAGTATTATTAAATAATACTTTGTTTTAGTTCAATCTTCTAACTTCCATAAAATGGTCGAACGGATTAATTTTATGAAGATTGGAGTTCAAATATAGGTAACATCTATAATCTATATCAGTAATACAGTATGTTATTCATAAAAGTTTATGCAAAAAATGAAAAATTGAATTCAAACAGATCAATTTAATCTGTAATTAATTATTATTAGTTAATTCTTTAATCATTTCACGAACCAACCCCTTCCGATAGACATAAATAGAATTGATATACAATAAAACTAGATATTGCTAACAACCCGAATCTTCAAGAAACTCCTCCTACTATTTCCTATCATCTCAAAGGTTTCTTAAAGAATAATTATAAAATATCTTATCTTAATTTATTAGACAAAATTAGATCAATACTGTTTCAAAACTTTTTAAATGTAACTGTCGTTTTTTCCCGTGTGGTCTTCACTTGAATCCTGCAAAAGTAATATTTTAATAAAAAAATGGGGCTCCCAAAAGTTTTAGTGCCTCGGGCTGTTTTCTTTAATTGTACTTAATAGTACTGGTTTTAACCCCGTAGGCACGCATCGTCCGTGGGACGTCCATCGGACGTCTCACGGAAGTCTAAACGTCCATTAGACGTCCCGGACAACGAATGCCCACTTGGAATTTTATTATTAATTAATTTTTATTAAGTTAATTTATTATTATTATTTTATTAAATTTTATTTTAAATAATCATTTTTTTACTAAAAATTATTCAAATAATTAGGTTTTCTCCAAGGGAAAAGTTGTTTTAATTGCTTTGATTTTTTGGCATTGGTTTAGCTAGCGTTGTTGTTAAATTTTGAAGTTGACAAATAGTTGGTGTTTGAGACTTGTTAAAGTTGCAAAACGTTGTAGGCGGGGTTTGAAAAGGATGAAATAATCTTTGATTATTTGGGTTTGGATTATATCGGAATGTTGAAGCTGACTGGGATGGTACTTGAAATGTTTAAGGCAATTTGAAACTTTAATCTATTAATTTTGATAAGATTAAGTAGAAACGAACCAGTGTTTTAAAATCCAGCAACTATTTGTATTCATGTAAATGCGTCACCGGAGTTAAAAAGTAAAATGAAACTTTCTTTTGAAGTAAATTGATTTTTTGATAAATTGTTAAAAATATCTCTAAAACTTTAATGTGACAATATACAATTACGTTTAAAAAATGAAGTATGTTGTACAAACAAGCCGGAAAACGTATCTATTAATTAAATCACAGCAGTCAAGTTTTCTAATTATAAACCGTGGTCGATCAATGTGGAATTATTTCCAAAACAAAAATATTAAAGGCCTAAAAAGCATTTCATTGTTTCAACGACAAACTAAAATACATCTTCTCAATTCCTGACATATATGAATCGCTAACTTGAAAAATGTGGACATGTCCTGCAAAAATTCACAAAACATGTCCCATTTTTCAAGTTAGCGATTCATATATTATAGTTTAGAGTATTTGTTTTCAGTTTTTTAAATATTTTTTTTTGTTCTTCTTCTTTTTTTTTTTCTTCTTATATGTTTTAATATTTTTGTTTTCAATTTTGCTTTATTGAATTTTTATTTTACTTTAAAAATTAAAGTGTTTTTTTTTAAATGTGTGAATTACAAAAAAAAAATAAAAACGTTTTTTATTAAAGTTTTTATGTTTACGATGTTATTTTTTTTTTTACATGATTATATGAAAAAGTGTAATATTGTTTAACCAGCAAAATAAAAGTTAATAATAAATAAATAAAATAATCTCTTGTGGTCAATTACACTGTTATTTATTACTTTTTTGTCATTATTATTACGAGAAATAACAGTGCCAAGAAACAAAAGATGAGAATGAGATAAGAAAAATGAAACAAAAAGAAATGAGAAACAACCCAGCGGGCACAACATGTGACAAAAAGACATCGTGTCGACGTCCGACAGACGTCTGTGCCTGCCGGAAAGAAACAATTGTTCAACTTACCTTTAAAAATTATCTTGTTATATTCCTGTGTGAAAAGCAAACTTGTCTTTATAAATTGCTCAAAATCTGCTGGATGTAAACAACCTTTTGATCCTAAAATAACTAATTGCTTTTTGATTTAAAAAGCAATTAGTTATTTTTTAAATAACTAATTGCTTTTTAAATACAATTTGTGCAAACTGTAGTAAACTGTAGTATTGCTATTCCTTTATTCACTAATAACGCGAGAAGTGTTCGTGCCTCCTGTGCTTTTTTTAAATTACTTTTTCACAATTCGAGAACGTTTTAGATAATTACAAAAGTTTCTTGAAAGTTCAATAATGGTTTGGAAAATTTAAAAAATTTATGGACAACTCTAGGATTTTAATATTTTAGTTTACAATAATTTAAATTATACATTTATTTAAATCCAAATATTAAAAAAGATTTAGTTAAATTAGATTCCCAACAATAGATATAAATGTTTAATTTTTTTTTTCATTTTAAGTGCCCCAAAAAGTCCTAACGGTCTTATCACAGAGCACCGCAAAAAAACATTTGAAAGGATGTTTTTCCTTTTTTTTTTAATCGATTTTATATAACTTGCCCAGAGGTGGCGTTGTGCCACGGATACCTAGCTTCTGAGGCAAGCGCGCCAACCACTGCGCTACAGCTGCTAAATCTATTAGTTAAATCTTCAAAGATCGATCCAAAAATCTCCAAAAAAAACCTTGCCATAGTGTTTATTTATAGAGTTACATTTATTATTCTATAATTGTTTTTTTATGCTTATAGTGTATTTTTAATATATTTTATATAGTGTGTTCGGAAAGACAATTGCGATAGTATAAATTAGCGTGTAGACATTTCTAAATATAGATAGTTTAAATCCTTATATAGATAGTGTAGTGCAGAACTTCTATGGTCTGTGATCTGATATGAACTTAAGTTATTTACCAATCAAAAATTCTCTTATTACCATCTTAGTGGTAGTATACCAGATATAGCTTTCATTAATTTTATCTAATTTTTCTTCGTTTTGTGATAATTCTATATCAGATTCTTTATCACTGTCACCTTCTTCTGCAAGTCGTGTTGACAAGTATTATCATCATTGCAGCAAATTTTCGTGACAGGAATTGTTTCAACTATTGTTATACCTCTTAAATTTCTCTTTTCCTTTTAATAACAAAGTTTCTATTTTATTATTATAAAGTCTTCCATTCTTTTGTACGTTTGTTCGGACCATTAGCAATAGTTACAGAGCATATATTTTTTAATTTTAACTTGAAGACACCTAATAAAGTTTCTATTTCTGATGCTAAATATAATTGGGTGTTGTAGATCATATTTAGCATCAGAATTTGAACGTAAGGGCTTCTAAGAAAGACGTTCCAGAACCCTTACCTTAAAAAAGGGAACCTCTCCGGGTTATAGAAACCTTTAAACTCAGGGTTCTAGGTTCGGAAACGCAATTTTTTTTTTTAAATTTTTGTTTTAGGTGCCCTAAGAAAACTTTTTCTTGTCACCGTGGAAGAGCATTTAACGAGGAAGCCTCCTTCCTTACCAATGGCGCGAAATATGCCCAGAGCTCGCATCGAACCTTGGATTTTTTGCTTCTAAAGAAAGCGCTTTATCCACTGCATCATGGGCGCTAGATCTCTGCATTTTTATTATTATATATTTTTTGAAATTTACAAACTGTCTGTTAATAATAGGTTCTATATTATTAAATCAGAGTTGTTGTGTTTATTTTCAATATAATCATCCCAATTAAACCATGATTCTTTATATTAGCTGCAACAATAATTTGTAAAATATTTATCTTAGAATTGGTTTTCTGATGTTGCTTCAAATTGCTCTGAAACTTTTATAATTTATCTTCAAATTGTTTCACACAATTTTTAGATTTAACGTATTTAACTTCGATTAAATTTTTTTGTATTTTAATTGCGGCTTGACTTCTGGTGTCATCATTTTCGAATAGCAGTCATTTTTGAAGTTTCTGAGTTTGTGTCATTCAAGATATCTGAATAAAAATGTGCATCATCATCCTCTTCTTCATCTAATTTTCAATTATATTTAATGTTAAATTTATGCTTACATATTTAAAACGATTTCTTGCACTTTTGGTTTCTTGTTTAATTACTGAAAATCGAACTTTTTTCAATCTTTTTAATAAAAGCAGGACAAAATATTTTTTGCTGACACAAGTAGCTATCCGTCCGCATCTGGTGGCGAGATAACAACCCTTGTTACTTTAATTCATAATTAAAGAATTTTTATGTGTACAGATTTTCAAAATTATATCTTTGCACTCATCAAAATAAATATAGAAACCAAATCATAAAATTTTCAAAATAAACATGAAATTAACAATATCAACAATTACAGCCCCATCACACTAATGGAAGTTACGAATGTCATCTCGATTTTGCTCATTTGATAATTCCTTTTTGACAAAGCTTTGATAATAGAGAAATAAAAAACTTGATAATTTTTTTTCAAGTTATTTCGGATTCTATATTGCTATAAGTCAAATTGAAATAAAAACAAAGTCAAACTTTCACACACAAAAAAAGTGTTAAGTAAATCATTTTAATATGACCTATATTCCACACGACAAAGCAATAACAGCTTTTTTAAAATTAGATTTTATTAAATCGATTAAAACTAAATACGTAAATAATTTAACATCCGTATTACAATGGTTATTAGATAGGCACCATATTACGTTACTATCGGCCTAATAAAACTAAATGATTTTATACATTGTATTTGAATTAATAATTTCAAAAAAAAAAAAAAAAAAAAAAAAAAATGTAGCTGTCTATTCCGAATGTGTTCCAATAGGATGTTTTTACTCAAATTGATACTAAAATATGAAAGGAAACATAAAAAATAGCAACGTATTAACTACTTTTTTTAACTTATTTTTAAAATTTCAATCTGAACAGCTCAAGTCATCACCAGACAAATAAATTAACATTACTTTATGTCTGAGCTATTCAGGTTGAAATATAAACAATAAATTAAAAGAAAAAAATAAATATAATTAATATTTACAAACGTTTAAAAAAACAACGCAATAAAATCAAAAACTCAGCCAAATATGTTTCTTTTTTTTTTTTTTAAATATATTTCATTTATAAGATCGATAAAAACATCGAACAAAAAGTAAGTAAAAAAATAACTTTTAAAAAGCCATTAAACAATTCAGAATGGAGCATCATTAATAATCGTTTAAAAATATTTTTGATGTAAGTTTTTGTTTCAAAAATTCGGAAATAAAAAACAAACTTATAGATATTTATTTACATTCGAAATCGAAAAATAATTTAAAGTAATTTACGAAGCTTTTTATAATATTTTTATAATGCATAAGTATTTGTCACGCCTGTACACGATTTTAAAACACAGAACATAAAACTGCGAACGTTGCAGAACTAAGCTGCTACACTTGTGTTGAAGCCATTTAGAAAAACGACTAATTAACGAGCAATAAATTAACATATTTCCCCAATGTAGGATCGCCATAAAAACTATAGAAATTCCTTTTCAGTACTTTGAGGAGGAGTCAGTATTCCTTTACATTTTACTAGAGGACTAGTTTTTGGGTGATTGTTGACAGGATGAGTATTTATCATTTGTGAATGAGCGAAGTCCTAAAAACAAATAAAATATAATTTTAAAAAGTTGCAAAATATATCGTTTAATTTCATTATCAAATCAAAATCTTATATGGAGCATAAGTTAATTTTAATCTCACTTTTCTCTTTACATTTTGTATAAATTTTGAAATCAAAACTTATACAACCCATTACTAACCATTTTACTCAAAAATGTCTTTTAGTATACCTTGATATTGTTATTGTTTATAACAAAAATAATAATCAAACAAAAATCAAACCCAAAAAATGTCTGGTTAGTATATTAAAATTCTTAAATAGTGTCTTAGAATTCTTAAATGGTTAGTATATTTAAAATCTTATTCAACCACCTGTTTTTTATAAACTTCTTTTTAATTTCAATTTTTTAAACCCGCAAATCAAACCAATCTACATAATTAACACCTTTTACGCCTCTATAAATAATTCCTTGATACTAAACTAGATATAAACTAGCTATAACTAAATATAAAGTCATTGCAATAAACAAACACATTTTGTTAAAAATATTACATTAAACAACACATTTTTATAAAACGGAAGTATGTAATTACTAAAAATTGTTCTCGAAAGAGATTTGTCATAAATGATGGGAAATAATGTTAGGGGTTTGAGTTTTTATTATAAATAGCATATTTTATTATTTATATATGATAAACATATATTTTATTATAAACAGCTTTCTCCGCTTTATATTAGTTCTTATGTCAGTGAGAGACAAGTTGAACTAAGAAGTAACAGCCGTTTAGATATTTTGACCATATAATATTGTGAATAACTCTTGAAAATATCTCTATTGCAGCTGTCACAGAGTTTGTACACTTTAGGTAATTTTATTTATATCTTATCTTTTATTATTACTCTAAAATTTGATTAAATCATTTTGCTCTACATTATATAGAAGTGCAATTATAAGCCGAAATAAAAACTTAACTTGGTTCACATGACCACCATTGAGTTGGTTATGCATCTTTTATGAATTATATTAATAAGCCTACATAATGCAGTGAAGCAAGATCTTGGTCAATCATTTTATTTTGAAATCTTGTTTGATCAAAATAATTCAATCTTTTTACCAGCTGGAATTTATCAACAAAGGCAGGTCCTTTTTTTCTTATTTGCCTCCAGTAAAAAGTCATAGAACCCTCTTTGGATTGTCTTAATGCCTGAATAAAATAGTCAAGTTTAGTTAGTTAAATGTATACTAGTTTATTATTTGTTTTTGGTTGAAGAGTAAGGTAGGCTTCGAGTTTAACAGTAATGTATGAGATAGCAATTAGCTATGTCTACTAGTTACAAGCAACAGCAACAAAGTAAATTTATCATTTTTGACTTGAGAAAAAACTTGCTTTATAAAGATAAATGAAACAGCCCTTTAGTCTGTTGTAATATTAGTATTCTAAACAGAGTTGATTATATGTTTCTGCAGCATTCTAGTATAGTCGCTGCATCTTTTATAACAATTTGCATGTTTTTTAGTTTGTTAGTTTCTTTTCGGCATTTGTTAAGGTCTTTGAGAAGAACATCATGAACCAAACTGTTAAAATATTCCTTCAAAAGATATACCAGAAGCAACAATTTCAACTGGTACCAAATGATCAAGTCAGGAGAAGCTAGACAAGTTTATTTTTAATTTTTTTATATTATAGAATGCCGGCTGACAACCACAAATGAAAGACTCATTTTTTGCTCAAGTGAGTATAGTGCATCCGATACCGATATCATTTTGCAATTTGGTACTAAAATATTCAAATACTGCTATTAAAACTTGATTAAAAAAAAAAAAAAACAATTTTTTGAATATATATATATATATATATATATATATATATATATATATATATATATATATATATATATATATATATATATATATATACACATATATATATATATATATATATATATACATACATACATACACATACACAAATATAATTTTAAGCTATTTTTTTTTAATATTTTATACCAAAAATACAGATTATCTTAATTATGCGCCTATTAAGTTATTATTTTCTCCTTTGTAAAGTCTATAGGAAGCAAAGGGCATTCAGAGTGTCATTCTCAAGAGATAATGGCTGAATACTTGCACGGCATAACAAGAGATAATGGCTGATACTGTTGTTAATTGCTAAAAATATGTGCTCCAATTCAACACTTGTTAGGTTTGTTGGCCAAGGCTATTGTTGGCTCCTTTGAATTTTATGCAATGAGATTTCAAAGAAGTTGAATTATGTTTTTAAACATTTTTCAACAAATATTTCGAAACATTTAAAATTTTCTTATTTTTATATTGTGGCTGATTTGGCACACAAAAAACAGCACTGGATCTAAATTGATGGTCTTTGTGCAGAACAAACGCTTTATTTGTTGTTTTTAATTTTATCTGCTAAATCTGAGGTTATTTATTATTTACAAGATTATTAGCAGCTTTTTTTGACAGAAGCTGACAGTATTTCTGTTCATGTGTATTACACATTTAATTAAATGCCATGCACAATGAATAACTGTTGACGATAATTGCTTTAACTTCCCAGTTTCTGCATTATGGAAACTCCATTAGTAGAAATGCAGACAAATCTGTTTTTATTGTAATTTAGATCAATACTTTTTAAAACACATATTTTAACAGACAGTACAACAACTCAAGCTAATCAATGGTTTGAAAATTTGAATTTAATATGAAAGTTAACATTTAACTATCTGCAATTTTATTGATTTAAATTTGATTACATCATTAAAACTTAAGCATCTTTTGCAATTTGGAGAAACCATTTTAAGTCTTACATTTGCCAATATAGCTATGAAAAGTCAATTTTATTTTTAGTTAAACAAGCAATGAACTGGTAGAGAATACAATTTTTTTTTATATATGCAAGACCAAGTACCAGTACTAAAGATGTCAAGGTTTCGAGTATTTATACAGTAATTATATTCTGCTCATTCTAACCCAAAACAAACAAACAAAAAATATATAATAATAAATATCCTTCACAGGCAAATACTAACTGCACAAACTCAAACAGTCTGAAGCATTTAAATTGCCTAGGGCTATTTCAGTAAGACATGTGCAGAACAAAGTATTAGATAAGCTACAACTATTATAACATAAACTATTGCAAGTATAATATTTAAGTATCAAATACTGCATACATAAATTGCATTATTGAGTACTTGTTTTCAGAATGTTATCAGAGAAAACCTGAAAGTTTTAAAAATGTGTTTCCACATTACAAAACACATATTTATACATTTAATATCAGAAATTATTTTAAAAAAAGAAAAATTTAGCATTTCTAACTTATTTATTTCTATACTTTGTTAATTTATTTATATATAACTATTAGCAAATATAACTTATTTTATTAACAAAAATAAAACAAAGAAAACTTACTAATAATTGCATTGCATTATTATAAAACAAAGAAAACTTACTAATAATTGTATTGCATTATTATGCACTTGAATGTTATGAGCATTATCAGATGAAACCTGGAAAAATTTTAAACATTTTTATGCATGATAAAAAACTTATTTACACATTAAACATTTAAAACTTATTTATTTGAAACATTTCATTTTTGACTTTTAAATACATAAAAAAATTGAAACAAAAGTGCACATACTTTTTCGAATTGTTTAATAGGTTTTATTGGTTGCATATGAATAACTTTGGCAAATGGTGTCAACCATTGTATACAAGGATAAAGCTCTTCATATTTATGTCCTAAATCATTCAAATAATTGCACAATTTTTACATTAATTGCACAACATTTACTTTCAATAATTTTTTTATTTCAAATTTTTAATGAAAATTGTATGAAGAAAATGTCTGCATGTCTGAACAAAATTTTTATGAACTTTCATCGGAAAAATACAAATTGATAATATATTTGTAACAAATATTATCTATGCATGATAATTTTTGAGACTATTTTTGAGTAAGAATTATTTTTAAATTATATTGTAATTTTAAAATATTTCTAAAAAGTCTATTCTAAAAGGTTGTAAAAAGTCGTATGATAGCATAACATTGATACATTCTTTAATCTTCATTTTAGTACTATAAAACTATAAGTGTAAAGTTTAGAAAATACGTAAAAGTATTAATTACCTGTGATGTCAGAGATATCTTTTCCCCACATATGATAAAGTGCTGATGCAGCAATTATACTGTATGAAAATTGCAGATACCCTGTATCCAAGCAACAAAGATCAACTAACTAAATAAAATAATATAGTAATAAATTTATTAAAAATAATAATATCTATTGTTAACTTAATTTATAAACCAACTTCATAGTTTAACACCAACGCTTTTATCACATACAACGCAACACATAAATTTATGCAGTTACTTAGTCATACAGCTAATATGAAATCAATGTAAAAATCATCTAAAGTAGTTTAAAATCATCTAAAATTGCAACTAATTTGCAAAATCTTTTAGAAATTTATTTAAACTTTATTTAAAAAAAATATATATTACCAACATAATAAAATTTATAATTAACCATCATGCTCTAAGAAGTCATAGAAAGATGCATATAAAACAAAAATGCAGTTCCCCTTAAAATGCATTAAAACTCCAATTTATTCAAAAAACATCAACTAAACAACAACTTTTTGTAATTGATAGAACTTACAAATAGTTACAAAAAATCAAAAAACTATATTTAGAAACTTGCAACTTATATAAATATATATCTTTCCAGATTCCACATTCTGCTCGTATCTATGGTCTTTTAAAGATGCACAAACTAAATTTTTATGACATTACCATAAACTTTAGAACTATTGTATTCTCAATCAGTACCTGATTAATTACTAACTAGCTAATTACGAACTAGCTAAATTTCTTAGAGATTTGTTATCTCCATTAATTGCAATTAAGTTTTTCACAAAAGATTTATTTTCAAAAAAAACCATTGAAATCACAATTAATTTAATTATAATTTTCACAACTATAAATGATTTAAAAAATATTTTTAGTCATATAAATATTTTTCTTTCTTTTAAGAAGACAAACTTTCGAACATGAATGCTAATTAAGCCGGCAACTTTAATTTATTATTTGTCAAATACTTTTAAATGTCAAATATTTTTTAAATGTCAAATATTTTTTTGATAAAGAAAATTTCAAGAAATTAACCAAAGAACTTTTGCAAATTTTCATAATAAAAAATACAGAATAAAGCAACTGTAAATACATTGCAATTTAATTTATAAGAAAATAAATTGCAACTTTTAAAGTTGAAAAATACAGAATAAAGTTATGTTTTTCCATAAGCTTTGTCAGAAAACTAAAACTTTTTAATAATAAATGTGTGATGATATTAATTTGTTGATATGTTTTTTTACTTATAATTTTGAACAAAGATGCTTAGTTAAAGCACATTTTATTTAAATTTGCAACCCGCAGAACTAGGAAAATTGAGGTCGGCAATAATTTGCTGATCTCAATTTTTTAGAGGTCGGTATCAGGTCAGCAAATACAAAGGTCTTACCATAAAACATTGAAACGAGGTCAGCAAAACTGAATTTTTTTTGCCGACCGCAAACACGCTTAAGTTGGAAGTTAGGTTGGCATTGCCGAATGTTGACCTTAATTCCGAGGGTTGAATGTGTAACTAAAGTTAAAATTGTAAAAAATGTAATTTAAACAAAAGAATGAGAGCAGATAAAAAAAGAGGTTTTTTTCAAATATTTTTATTTTTAAAATTCCAGCCAACACAATTTTTTCGTTTGAAACGTAGCCAGAAAATAAAAAAGAGTTTAGTGTTATTATTATTTACAAAATAAAAAAATATTTAAAATTTGCTCGTACTCTTAGAGAAAAAACTGTTTTTGACTTCATTTTTTTCAACGTTTTTGACTTCACAACCCTCATAAATTTTGATGAAAAATCTCTAGAGAGAGAGACCGACTATTTGTATAAAATTATGAATGGAATGAATGGAATTGTAATTGTTTATAACAAAGGAAAAAATAATTAAATCATTCAGTTGCAATACAAATATTAAAAAGTTCTTTACTTCTGGCTATATCTTTTAAATGTTAGAAACAACTCAGTAATAGTCAGACCCCTGTTCAGATCAACTGTTTGTGATAATCAGTATTCAAACTGCAGGCAAAGTAATTAATAAAGCTATGTTTTGCTAAAATCAAGTGCTACATACTAAAAATATTATAAATATTATTAAAAAAATATTATAAACAGGCTTCCAAAAGAGTAAATGCAAACATTTTTATGCAGGAGTTTCAAGATTGTCTAAAGCGCATTTGACAGATTGGGTAAGTTTTTGTAGTTTCATGTTTGATTTATTCTGTTTATGCTACCTTCCATTTTGTTCGTTATATATATATATATATATATATATATATATATATATATATATATATATACACACACACACACACAGATGCATAAATACATAAGATATATATATAAATAAAAACTAAAAAAAAATCAGGTTTACTTCTGTTACTCTAGCCAAGTGTATTCCTGAAAACTGTGGTAAATGAAAACTTTCATCAATCTCTTGTTTTTCTTGGCGTAATTTTCTATTTGCAATTTGTAAATATGATGTTAGCCAACAAATAGGAGTGACTGGGCACAAATGCCAATTTAAAGCCTAAAAGCACCATATTAAAGTTTTAAATTTTATCCAAAAGAAAATATTTTTAAATAAGATTAGTTGAATATTTACTGAAAGTAAAATCATTTCTTGTTGTAGTATTTCTTCATCAGTGCATGCACCATCTGTTACAAAAGCAAACTCTGATAGTTTTGGAGGGTATATTTCCTGAAAAAAAAAATCATATTATATATATATATATATATATATATATATATATATATATATATATATATATATATATATATATATATATATATATATATATATATATATATATATATATGTATATACTTTTATAAATAAAAACAATTTTTATTATAATAATTTTACTTACTATATTTCATCTAAAATGAAACACTAACCTCCATCTTTGATGCAACAAAAATGGCAGTAACTCCAACCAACTGAAGTCTTGTTTTAGCAATATTTTTTTGTGTAGACAAAAATCTATCAACATAGTCAACAGCCAGGTAAAAGGTTTCGCGATGCAGCCTGTAAACTTCACAAACCTATGAAACAGTTTCGTATGAAAAACTATAATTTTTTAAAAAGAAGTTGAATTAATAATACACTAACTGGTATATAAGTTTTTTTATTAATCAATTAATTAAATCATCAAATTAATTTTCTAAAATTCTTTAATTTAAAATAAAAAAGGTATTCCCATGTTCTTAAAAAGGCAAGATAAATTATTAAATAGACACTTATAAGACAAAAAAATAGTTAGAAATTGGAAAGTACTTCTTTTCTTAGAGAAAACATTGACTGTTGACTTTCTTATATAATAAGTTTTTAATCTAAGGTTATGTCTCAAGGAGTTTATACATAATAATATTATAATAATACTCAAAATATTTTTATCAAACTTTTTCACTAAATCTAAACTCACTTCAATTAACCAGTCTAATAAAACAGTTCGCATTCTTGGTTGTAGAGATGGATGTCTACGAATATATAATGAGTCTCTTTTGTATTCTCTATCTTTTTGAAGCATAACTTCCCATACTTCATAGGAGTCTGCCCAATTTAAGTTGGGTAAAGGAGAACAGTCTTTAGATATTGGTGAAAAGTAGTTTGAAAAAGTAAATTTTGTAATTCCTTTGATAAGTTCGTTTGGTGTGTTTTGAGAGTCTTTTTTTTTATTTTGTTGAGTATTATTCTTTAATTCTTTTTGGTAAATACACGGTTTTGATGACTTACGCCGCTTTTCAGGCTGATTAATAAATAAGCTAAAGGCACAAATATTATCTTGAGCTGTAGAAAGAACCTCAAATGCTTCAAGAATTTCTTCTGGTTCTGTATTTATATCCTGTAAAAATTTTGTTATAATTTACAATAAAATCAGAAAAAAACCTATATAAATGTAATATAGACCAAACTATATATCAAAAGAAACTATTTTCCATCTTTCCTCTATATTCTTTTTTTTATTATTAAATGTATACAAATGACACAATTATTTTCCATCTACATTATATTAGATTTTTTACATTTATGGTACTTCAGTTGTTACATTTTATTTAAATATATTCTTACTTTGTACCAGTTATTGATGTATTAAAACTATATATGTTAATTCAGTAAACGATTTGTTATCAGTAGATAAACATCAAACACATCACACTTAACATTTTAATAAATAAAAATCTTTTAATAAATTTAAATCTTTGTATACATCAAAAAAAAATTTTTTTTTAACCTTTGTCTGTAATAAACTTTGCTTTTTGTCAAACTCTTCTTCCTAAAATAGATAGCTGTAAAAATAACTGAATACTTTAAAACATTTGTTTACATTTTTAGTGTCTTAGCAAAATACAAGATTATAAGTTGCTAGCTACAACTAAAGGACGGATTCATCAGGTTTCTTATCTGAGAACACTCTGAATATTATCTTTTTACTTTTAGCACATTATTTTACTTAATCACATCACTATTTTTTGTATTTACTTAGTTAAATACTTTTTTTGGTTTTCTTTTACATTGGAATGTTTTATGAATGGAACTTGAACAATGTTTTAAAAAAAATTTATCCAAATATTGTATAAAATATTGTAATAGAAAAAAAAAATTAAAAATTAGAAAATAACTGTTTATATATTATATATGAAAAAAAGTTTTTCAAATATTTAATAATCATAAAAATAATAACATGTCTTCCATCAACTCACTGATATAGATGGTCTTGTTTTTCTTTTCCTTTCTGCTTTTACAGGTTCTGTGGCATTTCTTTTAGATCTAGGTCTAAATTTAAACAACATTTTGAAAAAAAAAACTATAATTTTTAATTAAATAAAACTACTTATTGATTTAAACTCTAACTAAATGAAAATATGTTATAACTCTTATTAATGTACAATGTTTAGTTGCTTATGCAATACATCATACATTTTATATACTCAGGGTTACCACTATTAAAACTGAGGCTAAAAGTAAGGATTTTAAGGAGATTTAAGGATATATTTCCCTAATATTTAAGGAGATTTGGTTGCGAACAAATCATTCTCTCCTTAATTCTCCTTACTTTTTTTTGAAGAAAAAAGTAAGAAGAATTAAGGAGAGAACGATTACATTAAAAACAAAATCTTATTTTTTTCCGTAAATTTGAAATATGAACAGAAAAACTATTATAAATTAGTATATTTTTTGACGTATATATAAATATATATATATTTTATTATATATATATATATATATATATATATATATATATATATATATATATATATATATATATATATATATATATATAATAAAAGTATAGGTTTGCAAATATACAAGATTTATATATTTGCTTCTTTATTAATAAATATAATCCATTCACTTAAATAAAATTTCCTAGATAATTAAAAAAAAAAAAAATAAGGAGAAATTAAGGAAAGCAGTCAAATTTTATTTAAGGACTTTTAATGAGGTTTTTTTTATTTGAGGATATTTAAGGTTTTTAAGGAGGAGTAGGAATCCTGATACTATAGGACACAGCCACCTACAAATATAAATGGGGAAAAATCATTCTCTAATAAACTAAAAAAATTACTCTTAAAGAATTTAAAATATTATAATTATAAAACGAGTAATATATGCATTAAATTTGAAAAAGTTCGAATAAATGGAATATGAAAAAAACGTGTAAAGGTTTTGTCATACGTCTGAAGAAAAATTTTATCAAAAAGTACTGGTAAATTCTGGATACCTCAGTCTTGCTTGATTCATTCCTTATACCAGTTTAAAAAGAAATGCGTTGTAAAAGTTGGAAATTTAGGCTCTGTAATTAATTTTATAGTTTAGCTCACCGCTTCAGACCAAAGACAACAGAACAACACATCCAACTTTTAACTACAATGAAATTTCGTTGGCGCTCAATCCCTTGTGCATATATTAGAGCGCGCAATGCATTCTTAAATAATAAATTTAATTCAACATTGTAAAAATAGCCAATTATATTTTAAAGCGCAAGAGTCTAACCAATCATTTAAATTAACGCATCAACAAGAAAATCCGACTCAAATTCCGCGAAAGTTTAAAAATATAAACAAAACCACGTGTTTTTTTTTTTCTTTTTAAAACGATAACTGAAAATGAAAATGTTGAAGAAAAATATACGACAATATTTTTATTTTTTCATTACTTCTTTAGTGAGTAATTTTTATATTTCACTTTCAATAAAGAAGTAAAAAATATTACCAAATGGATTACATATATTGCTCGACTAATCTTTTTTAATAACAGATTGGGTTTCTTTATACAATTTAGTTTTATCACAGCTTGCAACTCTTGACCTAACCGTTTCATAAGTAATCATAATAAAACAGATTTTTTATAGTAATCCAAAACTGTTACAATAAAATGCAGCATACCAACAAAAATAGCTCAAAATTAATGCAACAATAATTTTAATTTTCTATTACCTATTTTGTAAATAATTTTTATAGTTCATTTTTAATAAAGAAGTAAAAAATATTCACAAAAGTATTTAAAAGTAAAATGCTGTTAGATATCTCCATATAGTATAATGATATCTTAACATAATGATAATAATAAAAAAGAAGCATAGCACTCAATTTAATTAGATTAGATTTGGTAGATAGTGTACTAAAAATAATAATAATATAATACGCAATAAAATTTTTTGACATGTAGTATTATAATGTATTGCTTAAATAAGTCAAAATTTATGCAAAGCCTCATGTAGTGTTAACAACAAAAACTGAATTCAAAAATAGAAAAATGATTATTTGCTGCTTGATAGTAATTGTTAATAATGATCTCCATAATATTCAGTTTAGTAAAAACTGTTGACTGTTGCTTAACATTAATAACCACTTTGCCTAATACTGATAGCTTTTTTTACAAAAAAAAAATTGGGGCAAATGTTAAACGTTGATCGTTTTACTACTAAAAAGATTGAATCTTTTATACAGGAAAACATCTAAACGATTCTGACAATGTATACAATATTAGGGGAAAAATATAACATATAATATAGATTTAAGATGCCAAATAAATAATTTTGTACTTAATAATAGCTGTTAGAATTAGTTAAATGTAACGACAAAATTTTTTTTTGTCATTACATTAAACTAATTCTAGGAAATTAGTTTTAGAACGTGCATCAATAAAAAAGATGTATAATTACCATTCCAATTAAATTTAAACCAAGCTTTAAGTTTGGTTGTAGTAAAGATATCATCTTTAATAAGTATATAGGTTGTAGTAAAGATATCATCTTTAATAAGTATATAGGTTGTAGTAAAGATATCATCTTTAATAAGTTTGGAAATATTTGTGTTATATCCATTTAAAGCAATTTTTTGCTATATCTATCTATAGCAACTATAGAAATTACCTGAGAAACGCAAGATATACCTAAGCTAGTTATTTATGTAACTTTTTTGAATGTTTTGAAAAGTATGAAATACATAACTAACTAGCTTATGTTAAATTATGTTAAAACTATTACATTTTAATGTAATAGTCAACATTTTAATGTAATAGTCAACAAAACAAAAACGCCCACAACGTAATTAACATACGCATTTCAATAAAGCAGGTCGGAACGCATAAAATAACTTAGTGTCACTGAATATTCCCCAGCTAAATATTCCAAGCCGAATATTCGGTGTTTCGGCTGAGAATTTACCCGAATATTTGGTATTCGGTAAAATCGCGAATCGTGGAATCGCTAGTGTAAATGGTTATAAAACAAAAAAAATTTGGATCGGATTAAAAACATTGCTTAGTTAAAATTAAGATTTGATACCTTTCAATTTTCTCTTATAGATATATTTTTATTTTCAAAAATATTACATATCAAAAAGTAAAATCCACATAACTATAACCAACTGAACAGCCACGACGCAGTGGTGGTGCACCTCCTTCAAAATCACAGGATCTGTGGTTCAAATTCTATCTCTGGGCATGTTTTGCAACATCGGTTAAGAAGGAGGTATAAACTCGTTAAATGTTTTTCCGCGGTGCTCTGTGATAAGACTGTAAAGACTTCTTGGGGCACCTAAAAAAAAAAAAGAAAAAAAAACTATTAAACTGCTATGTAGTTTTTCTTTTAACTCGTTTTGGCTTTTTTTATTTTTTTTTAGTAATTGTAGCTTAAATGCTTTTCAGTTTATAGATTTTAAACAGTGAAAACGTATGTCTATGTTGCATATTTTTTCAAGAAGTTCGAGCATTTGTTGAAAAAGCAGTTTTTCTTACGTAACATTATGTTTGTTGCATAATATACGAGACTTATTAATTAAAAAGTTACTAAGTTTATACCTCAGCTCAACGTCAATCAGTTGCAAACTGTGCAAAAATATAATCTTTCTTCAGCAATTGTGTTTGACTTGACTGAAACATTTTTCCAAATTCGATCGTATTTGACATATCCATCAACGTTTTTTAAAATCCAACTTAACCTAATTTTATTCAAAACTTATGTTAAAAAACAAAACAAATTGACATTTGCCATAAGGGAGCTTTGTTAGTTACTTTGTTACTTATATTATTATTATAAGTTATTGTTAATATTCTTCTTCTTTTTCCTCTTCTTTTTTTTCTTCATCTTTTTCTTCTTCTTCTTCTTTTTATTATTATTATTATTATTATTATTATTATTACTAATATTATTATTATTATTAATAATAATAATACATAAATTGTGCATGATTAACTATGACAAAACATTTCCTTAATTAAAAAACCTTTTAAGAAACAAAAGTAAAAAATTATTGGCGCCATAAAATTGTCAGATGCTATGTTGTCCATGTTTGATACTGACACTAGTGTTGAAAATGTTTCTTGTTAAAAACCATTTTCTAAAGCAAGGTAAGTTAAGCACCTGTTTCCATTAAAAAGTTTAGAAACGTACCAAATGATAATTAAATTTTTTTACCGTTTTCACAAAACAAAAAATATTATTTTGAAAATAAAACTTTTTTCATTGTGGCTTTATTAAAACAATATTTTTTACCGTTTTTCTTTTTTTTACATTGCATTGCTTACACTTTACCTTAAAGTATAGTAAAATGATAAAGATTTACATCTTTAATATTATTATTTAAGATAATTTGCAGTATTATATGACGTAGTAAAACATAATCTGCAATATAATACATTAAGTAATAAGAATAATAAAATACAATCTTTTGAAGCATATTTTTAAAAATATAGATATATGTATAAGAAACATTTGGAACGGCAAAATATTATATAATCTGTAGTCTTAAATATTATATAACACTAGAGTTTTATGACTGAGTTAATTTTTTTTAAATTATGAATGGTAAAAATCCTTACTAAATTTGGGTCATTATTTTTTCTGTAAAAAATATCCATAAATTTAAATTTAATTGAAATTTTACCTTTATCTCATTTTTGGTATCTGAACACAAATAGTACACTCAAATTTCTATTTATTGAGTATAAACAAAGTTCAGAATGTATGCTAATGCCCCACCTCCACAGTATAAAGGTTGGAAGAGTATCTGTCAGGAAGATATTTGTTTAAAGCACATGAACCACGTTAAGATTCCTTCCTATTCATGTGTGCGATTTTTTATGCAGAACGATTGAAGGCATATGACAGAAAAATACACCATCAATTAGCAAACTGCTTTTCCCTGCCCATTTTTATTCCTGGATTACATATAAAATATAATATATTAAAGTGTTTACATGGTAAAAAAAATACTTTTTGGTTTCTAACCTTATCTACATACCAAAATTAGTAGCAAGGCTAAATAATGCTTAATTTAATTTAAAATGCTGAAATAAAAATTTTTTCATCTTTTTTTATGCTGATTCAGCATTAAATGCAAAAAAATCAATAAAAAAGAAAACTACATTCTCTCAGCTTTTTAATGACATTACAAGCTAAAACTTACCGCACTGATGGATTATAGTGTAATAAACAAAACCTTACTAGAAAATCTTTAAAATAATAATTATTTTTAAAGTGGCTGCACTTTTAATTTTAAAGGATATTTTCGATGCAAAAACTTTAGGTAAAATTTAAATATATTCAAATGGAAACAAGTTTAAGGTTAGTTCTAGTAAGGTATTGCAGTTCTATCTATAAAGAAACAACCCTGAAAATTTGAAGTTAAGTGCATATCTGGTTAAAAAGATATGAATGATTTGGTGTTTGCAGTCAGAAAAGAAAAAAAAATACAATTGAGAAATCAAGCTTCAAAGTTTAAAAACAATATATATATATATTAAAAATTTACACTCATACACTCATTTTAACTAAAAACATTATCAGATTTACAACTTTTTTTTAGTTTTTAAGTAGTTTACAGGCCCGTAGGATCAAAAAAAAAAATTAATATATATGGGGGGAGGGGGTGAGACAGTGCTGGATTAAGGGACCCCAAAATAGTTTTAAGGACTTTTTTTTTTTTTTAGTCTCTCCAAATAAATAGCCCCGGGCCTCAAAAAGTCTTAATCCGGCACTGTGGGAAGGGGAGGGGGCAATAGGTCAAATAGTAGTAGTTCTAAAACTTTTGCCGAAAATACGGATAACAAACTAGGTCTTTTTTTTCTTTTATATTTTAATTTGTAATCGTTTGCTTTTTTCTAAAAACTAGTTTTAAAATTATTTATTTGGAAAATTATTGGGATGGGGGGAGGCAAATGCCCCTGCTGCTCCCCCTCCCCCGTTGTTACGGGCCTGGTTTAGTAATTATACAAACCCAAAAATAGAAACAACTATTTAAAATTTAGTTATTAGACAAATTTATCAATAGAATGGTTGCTATGGGCGTAACTAAGTAAATTTGAATCAATGAAATTAATTTATATTCAATAAAATTAATTTTTTAACTATTTTTTGTTATTAAAACTATATCATGTTATATATATATATATATATAT